CCATCGGATCGCGCTTCCGATTTTCTCCATAGATGTCCTGACCACCGCTAAGTCTATGGCTGCCCGCCGGTCCGACTTGGACCCCGCCGTGAGCTTTGAGAGCGCGTCGTATATACCCTTTGCGTCGACCACGCTCAGGTTCCCGGACTGTGGCTCCCCAAGAACCTGGCACTCGTCCTTTAAGATGGCGACGAAAGGACCTATGTGCTCTCTCCACCTTTCGTGGACCACGTTTCCTCGAACTACATCCAGCAACAAGATTTGAAGCCACTCGGCCTCTCCTAGAGCGCTGGACAATGAAAGAGTCTCCCCAGCGAGGGTGGAAGATACCTGTCGCCTGACTTTCCCAGACCTCCACGCAATCGGAGTGACGCGGGCCCGTGACCCGTGGGCCAGGGAATTGTCGGCAACATATATCTGCCACGCTTCCTGAGGATGCTGCAGACCATCTTTGTCCTCCGCCCCCACTCCACCGCAATCGCTGGCAGTCGCCAGGACGAATCCGTCCGGCTTGAAACGCCACACGATGACGGGAAGCGAGGCCGTCGAGCGTAGATGATCCACCATCTTGTTGGCATCGAGCAGGTCGCGAACGCAAGGGCGATTGACCTTCGTGGCTAATATGGAAGCCGCGCCGGCGGCCTCTGCCCTGGTCTCGCGACCTACCCACTGCAGCTTATAGACGAGGGACCTAAAGGCTGCTACTTCCCCTCCTAGCAGAGGGGCCCCGTGGTCTCCTTTCCTGCCTCGGGCCAGAGGGATCTTCTGGAGCTGCTCTAAAATGTATTTTTCTTGATCCACCAGAATACGATCCCCGTCTAACCTCAATCTCCTCCCGATGTACTCCACCCCTTCCGCGTCCAGTAGACGCATCTTCCCAAAAGTAAACCTGGACTTGAAGGGCTTGATGTACTGATCCTCTGACCCGGGCTTGAACGCGATGGCCCAGTCGTCTTCGACGAGCACTTGGGCCTCCAGCCCGCGGTCGGAGCGCTTCACAAACCAGCAGGGCTCTAACTTGGTCCGCTCGAAGCCCTGAGTGTGCATGAAATTAGCTGCGGTGCGGTGAAAGGCTAACGGGGCATCATCAAGGCCGCAAACTGGGGCTATGAGCTCGATGAGAGATCCTGGCGGTACTGGCACCCCGTCACATGGTTCGACGAAAACCCGACCGCGAGCCCTTTTCAAGGGCTCAGATTGGCAAAACGCGTTTTTGATATCGCCAATGTATATCGTCAATTTAAACATGAGCGCAACCACCAAAAACAGCATAAGAGCTTCCATACAGGGGGTTGGGGCGTAGACCTGGAGCTCGCATGTGTCCTCATCTTGGTGCCCACGAACACACCACCTAGATTTAGCCTTAGGTTTAGCAAACGTCCCCTCTTGTGGTTTCCACCCTCTCACCATGCGGCTGGACACGATTCGACTCGGGAAAAGCCTCCTAAGCTCTTTCGCCTTGTCCGGAGGATGGACGATGACGGCACTAGTCCCCTCAGCTATGGCCTTCCACTCGGCCGAGTCTGAAACGTCGAACTCTTTCTTTTCCTCGGAGTTCAGATTTTTGTAGTGGACCTCGGCTCCCCGGTTGGTCAAAAGCGAGAGGGAACAATCGCCAGACTCGTGAGGAACTATCTCCACATCGGCGTTGCCGTTGGAGTAGGTGATCCAGGATCCGCTCCAGCCCTCCTCCTGGAGTCTTTGGTCCAGGCTTTGAAAAACGGCTCCAGGGCCCGGGCCGCTGCTGGAGCAGGCCTCAAAGAACGCGCCAGCCACGACAGTGGCCTCCTCGGATCCTGAAGCAACAAAGGTGTCCACAAGAGCCGTGCTCGAGGGAGGACCCGATGAACGAGGTCTGGTATGAGGATGCTGTGGCACCGATTCTAGCTCTGAGATCTGCTGCTGAACTCTACCCGCTGGAGTCCCCCGGAAAGTTTCTCCTGGAGTGAGCCTGGACAATCTATACCCGTCTAACTGTCGATTGTGCCTCACAGCTTCCTGCATCTCGCGCAAGATCCGACCGGGGTCTGAATCGGCATTACGACGTTGGCTCGCTGTATCGGCTATGCTCAATCTCCGAGGATTGATGGGTGGAGCCGCTTCGATAGCGCCACTAGACGGCTCGGGCAACTCTCCGGAGGAAGCGGCCCCCGGCTCTATGGCGCGCCCTCTCTTCTCTCCCTGTGGTGGAGGAGGAGGCCTTCGTCGCGTGCTCCTGCCCGCGGCGCCGTCTCTCTCCGACGCGGTGCGGGACACCGCGCCTGACGGTACGAGAGAGCCCCTTGACTCGGATCGAGACAGAACCCCGGAGTCAGCTGGATCAGAGGAGACTTCCCTGGACATTTGACCTCCCCCTGGCCCGGGATCCCTGGTGTCATCCGAGGGAGCCACCTCTTCTCCCTCCGGAATGGGAGAGAGTCCCGGAGGAGCCTCGAGAGCAGGACCCTCTCGCCCCGCTCTGCCCCCTCGGGGGTCCTCTTCCGTTCCAGAAGGAGGCTGAGGTGATCGCTCGAGCGATTCTCCGGCGGCCGCCCCTGAGTCTCTCTCTAGATCAGGAACGTCAGCTCCAGGACCGTCTTCCATGGGCCCCCCCAGGTCCCAGGCTTCCGGAGGAGGAGGGCCTTCGGAGGCCACGTTGGTCCCCGCTCGGTGGCCACTGACTTGGGCCTCTCTGAGAAGCTGTTGAATGGCGGGATCCGCCATAACTTCCCCCCCCCTGGATTCTTCCGTGTTCGCTGGCCTGACTTGCTCCGACGAGCATTTCCAGAGCCTCGATCGCATTGCGACCCATATGGTCCCACCGTTTTGAATCACGGCGAGCCCGGGGCCAACCCACCTGTCCTTTTGTAAGGCGTAGGTCTTTTGTCCCCCCTTTGGCGCTCTGCGCCACACGTAGACCCACTGTCCCGGCACAAAATGCTTGTCCCGATGGGTGGGCGCCTTGACAGCGCTGGCCAACTTCTTTAAACTGGAACTCTCAAACAGCTCCTTGCGAGCATGCCGGCGAATGGCATCTCGCCTCGCAAACTCCGCTGACGCGGTGTCTCGGTCCCAGGACCCGGGAGATAAATCTTCGACTCCAACGACCTGAATCGGATCGTCGGCCAAGATATCGCTGGGAATCCTGGGGTTTATCCCGAAAACGAGTTGATAGGGAGTGAAACCCCCCCGGTGCAGGTATCTGTTCTTGGCCGCGGTGACCTCGTGAACCAGTGTTTCGAGTTCCGGCACCGTGGTGACGAGAGTCGTCTCGGAGGCCTTGAGCAGAATTTATTTCACCCATCCTCCGTGCCTTTCTGCCCTGCCGTTCTGCCAGGGGCTCTCGGAGTCCGTGATATGGTGAAATATCCCTAAATGTTCCACCCCCCTCTCGAACTGTCCCTTGAACTCGGGACCGCCATCTGTGATGGCGAACACTGGCGGGCCGAAAGGTCTTACCCAGGCACGCATGAACGCTCGCCAAGCGCCGAGAGCCGTGCCGTCGTAGAGCTCCACAACCTGAAAGTTTGTCCCGTGACATATAACGTTGAGAAAGGCCAGCTGTTGGTCCTTGAACGTAAGGAAAAACGTGTCAAGGGCAATGATTTTGTTGAGCTCAAACGTCTTCGGGACCGCGGCTGGCCGACTAGCGGCCGTCCTGGAATGGGCCTGACAGTCCCCGCACGTGAACTCGTCCCGGACGTATCGCAAAACCTCTGGCTTCGCCTGGGCCGCCTTGAGTATTTTGAAAAAGACGTCTTTGTGGGGGTGAGCTAAATTCACGTGAACTTTGTGTATCATACGCTTCACCGGGGCTGTGATGACGAATTTCTCGTCTTCAGGCCCCGGACCTTCCTCGGCTTCCGCTTCCTCGCCCTGTTCGTCGTCAGGGCGGGCGTCCTCGCTCCCTCCGGCTGCCGCCTCGTCAGGGCTGGGAGCCTCCCCAGTCCCCGTAGGAAAGCATACCCCCCCCGGCGGCTCAACTAAGAGCTGGTACTGTGGCCTTCGGACCACTCTAACTTCCTCGGGGGCGGGGCCCGGGTGAGTGTTTTCCACGCTGGACCTGATAGCCTCGGCCAGGGCCCTCGCGAACTTTGGCGGGTAAACGCGAGCCTTCGATGTCATTCCCCCCCCGATCAACTGAGCGTGCACGTGATCCCCGGACCACTTGGCGGAGAAAAAACGGTCCAGGAACCGGGGGCAGTTAGACATCAAACGCGTCGGCTTTCGAGACAGGTCTCCGCTCTTGTCGACACTGAGACCGAAGTAGCACATATCTATATTTGTGTGTCCTACCCCTTCCAGTCCCAAAATGTGCTGAACGGCCTGGGTCGACCAGGAGGATGCACCTGAGGGGTGCTCAAAAGCGAACTTGCGGCCGCCTTCGACCTGTATCATAGCGATCTCCACGGCAAAACCTAGGAGAAGAAGTGCCTCGGCATCCTTCTGCCGCTGCCCTTCGGTCATCTCCCGATGAGCATAAGCGTTCCTGGATATCGAAAATGGGCCACAAGGAGGTTCCAGGAGGACCATCCAGGGCTCTTTCTTCCTCACCAATGCTTCAAACTTGTCCCGATCCCCTTTCCTGGTGAAATCCCAACCTCCCTCCTTATCAAAGCTGCCTAGACAGGAGACCCCGGCGTGCTGAGCAAACCGCGCCACCCGCGGAGGAGAAAAGACCTCCATGAAGGCCCGATTCCGCAGGTGGGTCCTGAAACACTTAGTAAGCTTATATCGCTCGGAGATGCCGGAATCTCTAAGCATGTCTTTCCTTTGACGTCGGGTCATCATAACTTCTGATTCGTCGGAAAAGGGATCATGAAAGATGGCGTCATCGAGCTCTGGACACACGAATCGAACCTTCCCGTTTTCTTCCCCTTTCCATTCGATATCGAAGTGGTCCTGAAAGGCCTGACATCTTTCAGAGGCTACTTCGAAGAGACTGCTGAGATTGGCGTCCCCGGTCCTGGTACTGGCTCTCTCGGATCCCGGGGCGCTCTGGACAGCGCTCGAGATCGGCTCTACCGCTTCTGGCCGCCCTTGTCCCACCTCTGGTCGCCGCTGTTCCAGCCGTCCCACGACTTCCACCCCGCTGCCGTCCAGCCATCCCGCGCCAGACGGTCCTTGTCGCGCTTGGCCGCCTCCTCCGCGTCCTTCCGGCGCTGGTCCCGCGCCTGCTTCTCCTCGGGCGACTCCTTCCAGGGATCTCCTTGCTCGGCAGAGGGCCTCGAAAGGTGAGAAGGTCGCTTCTGCGGAGCTGCCGCTGCCAACTGTTGTGAAGGCAAGGCCGATCCTGGGAGATCGATACTGCTGATCGTGGTAGAAGACAACAGGTTGCCCCTCTGGTCCATCAGGCCCGTCGGGTTGTCCGGGCCCTTGCCGTGACCTTTCGCCTGTCCATGCGGCTCCTGCAAGGGTGGTGCTGCCGCGTAGTTCGGGTAGGCGGCAACCAACGGCGCGGTCGTGATCATCTGGAAGGACGCCTCTGGTGGAACCTGCTGCGTTGCAAGATGTGGGGTCGTAGCTATCGACGTCTGGTGTCCTCCGTCGGGCGCCCCGATGTAGTGGTGAGGAACTCCTCCACGAGCGCCCGGTCCACTGGGAAGGACTGAGGGAGCGCCTCCGCCACCGTTGGGAAGAACCACTGAGGCGAACCCTTTTCCCGGCATTGCTGGCTCTGCCATCGCCGATGGGATTGGTTTTGCTGGGCCTGGCTGCATCTCCTGCTTCGATCCTGGCTGCTGCGACGATTGTCCCGGTGACTTTGACTGCTGCTCCTTGATCGAGGACTGCTCCTTGACCGGGCTCTGGGCCTGCATCTGGGACTGGAGCAGCGCCATCGCGTGCACCTGGCCGGATGTCACCTTCGTCAGCTGGCTGATCGCGTTCTGCTGTGCCTCCTGCTTGGCGCTCATGTCCCTCAACATCTGCATCACCTCTGAGAGATCCTCGCCGTTCTCTGGCTTCCGACTGCGCGGCTCCCGAGGAGTAGCTGGCCCTGACGCTGCCGCCGCCGCTGCGACCTCCTGTCGTTGGAGCTGCTTCTTGCGACGCAGGTCGCCCTCCGCCTCGCTCATCACCCAGTCCGCCCGGTCGGCCTCGCTCGCTCGGGTGTAGTGCTGAGCGGCTCCCGACTCGGCCTGGGCTGGCCAAGGCGGTGGCACTCCAGCGGGCGTGACCCCGCGATTGCCGGGCGGCGGCGCTGGAGCGGCCACTAGAGCCCGCCATTCTGGGTCTGCGCCCTTCTGTTGAGCGAAACCCCGCCCACAGAGCGAGCACGCCGCAGTCCTGCGCTTGCACAGACATGTCACGTCTGGCTCCTTCTTCGTCTTGTCTGGCTTCTTGTCGAGGTATCCAACTCGCATGGTACAGTCCGAGCAGACCCACCAGGCACCATATCCATTGCAGCCGTAGTCGACGCTGATCGGGGGATGCCAACAAGTATAGTAGGCCTGGGGCACGACCTTCAGCGACTTCGGCAGGTTGGTGGGCCAGAATCTGCGCGTCACCATCATGCGCCCAAACTCGTCGGCGAGCTTGTTGAGCCAGAACATGGTGCTGCCGACCATGCATGCCCAGCTGCGCTGAGCCTTGTTGAGGTGGTCCGGTACTGTCGTGCCCGTCACAGCGTATGTCCAAGTCGTGTCGGTGCCGGCCACCTGCTCGGCCATGGTGGCCGGGCGCCTCTCGCGAAGCTGAGCCTCGGTAGGTTGCGCCTTCCTCGGCATCGCGACTGCTGATTCCTGAGAGCTGTCGTACTCGGTGGTGTGTGCGGACAGCGTCGTCGAGATCGAGATTGGCCCAGATGCTTGAGCCAAGGAGCTGCCCGAACGCGAGCGACGTCAATAGACAACCCACTCTCCACGTGCTGCTTCTCGACCGGGTCTCCGATCTGGACCAGGTCGCGCTTGTGGTGCTGCTCTTTCCTACTTCCATTCCTGATGTGTCTCCCTTAGTGTGGCGGTGACCCGATCCAGATCAAAGATCCGACATCTGACGGTGCTTGCTTTCCCCGAACGGCGTCCTCGACCCCTCCGGGTCTTCCGGAACGCCCAAGCTAGAAACGGTAGTACTCGGTCCCAGGACCCTAGGGTTGCCACGGCCAGACTCGGCTAGGCTCTCTCGGTCTCCCTGGTCGCCGCTGGAGGTGAGGTAGAAGGGTGCGTACTTTCCCGAGCTGCCTGAGCGGCCACAGTCGCAGTGAAAATCACTCTCTTTCAGCGAAGGATGCCGCTGAAAGACCGCCTCTGGGCACTTGAAATCGGCGCCCGAGGCTTGAAAGTCATCAATCCTGATGGTGCGGTGCCCACTGGGCAGACGATTCATGCCTACCTTGACTCCTAAACGCTTGAGGTCCATGGTGTTTTCTTCCAAATCGATCTTGGACCCCAGCATTTCTTGAAATCCTACGGGGAGGAGAGGCGGGGCGTCCTCCTGAAAGGACATCAAGCTCGATGATTCTGGACTTTCCCTGGATCCCCGTGGGAATGAGGGCTGTGTGAAGCACCCTCGTGCCTCCGCCCACTCCCCGAGCTGACGGGTTCCAAGGAGCCACGAGAGGGACCCTGAGGCCCTTTCTCCTCAAAACTTCTACATGCTGGCTCAGAGAAGGCTTTCCGATCAGCCCCTGTCCTGCCGCGGTGTCCACCACCGCCTCCCCGGGCGGGACGGTGAGAAGCACCAGCTCGTCCTGCTGCTGTCGCTCCTGGCCGCTGGACACGTCCTCCGGGGCGTTGGGGTCGACCACGTTTGCGTGCACGTAGCCGGTGACGAAAGACGCCGTCCCTCCTCCGGTTGCACTGGCGCTGTGGCTCTGGCCGTTCCGGTCTGGACATTCGCGTGACCAGTGGCCCTTCTTGCCGCAAGACCTGCACTTGGTCCTCTTGATCAGCTCCGCGAGAGGTAGTCGATTGCGTCTGGGTCGATGCTCTCCTTTCGCCGAGCGATGTCCCCTGTTGAACTTGCTCTTGTCGCCGCTCTTGATGTCGTTCTCTTTCGAGCGGTCGAAGAACTTACGGTCCACTTTGAGCTTCCTCTTCAAGTCGCGGTTCTGCTTCCATGTCTTGCGCCTGTCCTCTTGCATGGTGTTGAACGCGTACTTGAGCTCATCGTCGTACAGGTCCATCTTGTCCAGCGCTACATATATCTCTGCCTCACCCTCAGTGTCCAAAGAGGATACGTCGTCCCAGTCGAGTAGAGAGTCCGTGTCCTGGTCGTCAACGGAAAGGGCTCATGAACAGGGAAACTTGATTTGACGACCTCCGACTGCTCGACGTGGTAGGCTCGAGATCGGTGAATGCTAAGATGTTCCCGCCTGGCCACGTCCATCTCTCGGATGGCTGCCAAGGCTTCTTTGTAGGAATCCTTTGTCTTCATCTGAATCTTCATCAACTGAGTACCTCTCTCGCCCAGTCCAGCTCCCTCTTCCAAGAACATATATTTCCAATCATCTGGTAGAGGAAGCCCGAGGGTACCGACCTTGTCGAAAGCCAGGTCCAACCTTGCTGCGTACTCAGTGAGTCCTTCTCCTTGCTTGCGTTGAAACGAAAACAAGCATTCACGTCCTGCTTTACGCTTCTCGTCTCCGACTCGTTCTCCCGAGAGCAGATCCAGCCTGGCTATGACCTTGTCTGCTCCGTTGTCTGATATCAGATCCTCGTCGGTGATGTCTTCCAGCTTCCGCTGCAAGTCGATCGGCAGCAGCTTCATGATGCGGTCCGCGTGCTTGTGTGTATCCACATCTGTCGTCTGCCGCCATCGCATCACCTTCCGCCGCCATAGCTTGAACTCTGACCAGCCGGGCCACGCCTCAGGATCGGCGAAGTCCCTCCCGCGCCTCTCGTCGGTCTTCCACTTCTCGGTCCCCGACGCCTCGCCCCACTTGCTGCCGTTCCAGTCGCGGCTCTGCCAGTAGTTCGACTGCCATTCGTTCGACGTGTCTCTCCAGCTGTCGAACCTGTCCTGCCAACCGTTGGAGTGATCCTTCCAGCTGGCGTACTTGTCTGTCCAGCTGCGTGAAGCCTGGCTCCACGGATCTTGTCCGTCTGACTGCCAAGGATCTCGTTCCCCTCGTGGAGCTGGACTGGCGGCAGCTGTGTCGCCTACTTTGCTCCAACGTGCCGACGAGTTCCATGACAGCTGGTCGTCCCGTTCGTCTCCTTGGCCATTCTTGGTGTTGTCCGCGTCCGCCGTGGCCTTTGAGCTTACGCCCTGACCGGCACTCGACGCTTCTGTCACCATGAGACTCCTGGCCTGCTCTACGAACGTACGCATTTGTTCCGCCGTGATGTGGAACTGTCCGTCCTCGTTCTGCCACTGTTGCGCGATCTCTATGACCTGCTCGATAGACTCCTGGCCACTGCTACGAGTGCCGCCATTCGAGTTGTCACCACTCTCCGCTTCCGTCATGTTGTTGTCCGCAGATCGACCGAAGCGTCCTCAGACGCTCCGCTACCACTGTTCCCTGGACGATGACGGCGACGAAGTAGATGGTGCTCTTTCCTGGCTGAACCCTGACTCGGCAACCTCCCAGTCGTCCGTCTATCAGCACGGTGACCCTCCAGGTGTATACAGGAAGGGAAAAGGAGATGATGGGGAAGGTATGGGAATGGGTCGGATCGGGCTTAGTGAAGAGAGAAAAGGACTTGAGCCAGAGTGGTTATGGTCCGGTCCCCTCATCTGTAAACACTCTCAAGCTCAAGGACTTTGTGAACTCACCAAAGTCATACGCCAGAGGCACTCAAACGCACAACTATCGGTTTCACTACAGCGATCTCATCAACGATCCCAAGACACATATTGCTATTTTTCAAACCATCCACTGAGTGGGGCTCTTCTCTGGAGCAGCGTGGCGCCATCTATGAGGTGAACGCTGGCGGGTCCAAAGTATGTGGTGCGAGAGACGTGGTGCCAGCGAAGTCATGCAGATTCTGTGGTGCAGTCTGTCGCGGACCTCAGGTGGGCGCGAACGGGCGACCACCAGGCTTAGGTTGCTCCCATCGCACGTAAGGACCACATCCCAAAAATAATTCCGAGCACCCAGAAAAGTGTCGAAAGAGTGTCGAAACATTGTCGAAACAGTGTCGGACGAGTGTCTCCCAGAGCCCGACACGTGAAACCCCCCCGAGTTTGGGGGTCCATTTCTGGTGCTCGACATTCTTTCTGGTGATCAAGGCCAAAGCAGGTTGGAACATCATACTCAGTGGTGCAGTCTGTCGCGGACCTCAGGTGGGCGCGAACGGGCGACCACCAGGCTTAGGTTGCTCCCATCGCACGTAAGGACCACATCCCAGAAATAATTCCGAGCACCCAGAAAAGTGTCGAAAGAGTGTCGAAACATTGTCGAAACAGTGTCGGACGAGTGTCTCCCAGAGCCCGACACGTGAACCCCCCCCCCCGAGTTTGGGGGTCCATTTCTGGTGCTCGACATTCTTTCTGGCGATCAAGGCCAAAGCAGGTTGGAACATCATACTCAGTGGTGCAGTCTGTCGCGGACCTCAGGTGGGCGCGACCGGGCGACCACCATAAGGAAACGAACCCTATACACCGACGCTTTTTCCGACCCTGCGCTGAAATGCGCAGAGGAACGCGGATCCTGGTGCATACGGGATCCTGGTGTATACATGTTTCGTTGTTCCCCTTGGAAAACGGGGGAAAGGTATACACCACACCACCCCGACGTCGTCCCCCACCCTCAGCAGGTCGTGGGATTGAAAAAACAGCCCGCCACTGGTAATGCAGACGATCCAGTGTCCGACACCCGGCGAGACCTCGGCCGGCCCCGCCGGCGCACGCGGCGCCCACGGGGCGGCCACGGGGCAAGACCTCGGCGGACAGGGCCAGCTGCACGGGGCGCCCACGGGCGGCCACCACGCGGAACCTCGGCCACGCCGCTCGGGAAACGACATACTACAAGAGTGTGTGTTCGGGTCGGACGCACACCTCCAAGGAGAACAGATGGTACCAGTATGTCTTTGCGCGTCCCATCACTCGCCTTTGACCCCCTCCATGGGTGACGCGTGGCGCGGCCCGGGGCCAACCACTTCAGGACGAGGCGGAGAACCCCCTGAAGTGCGAGCACTGCTCGGGGGAAAAAAGCCCTCGGAGACCTTGGCGACCTGCTTCCAACACGCGCGAGTAAAGCTCCCGCAGGCACATGCAAGCAAGTGAGGACCTTGCACATACAACGTGCCAAACTGGACGCGATTGCTGGCCTGCTCCGGCGGCGCCCGCAGTGCGGTGGCGCGAGGGGGTGGGCATTCTGGGGAGGCGGAGGGCTTCTGAACGTGCGGGTGGTCTCCTAGAAGCCCTCCCTGTCGTAAGAAGCCTCTGCGCTCTTCTAGGAATGCCCTGCTTACGAAAGAGCCCCCTTAGCAGGCCGCCCCCCTCGCATCAGCCCCTTGCGCGCGCCGCCAACTGCAAGAATAACGGCCATGCCATCGCCATCAGCATCGCTTCCGCACCCTCCTGGACATGTAAACGGCAGCGCCGCACGGGCTGGGAAGATGACCTCCGGCATTCGGCGGAGGATCGCGCTGCTGAGCAACACCTGGAAAATGACCTCCAGCAACACCTGCAGGGACTGGTGTTCAATACACGTGTCGCCCTTTCACCGTCACAACAAACCAAGCTGACAACACGATGCACCAAGCAAACCCAGAGCCACGCAAGCATCAACCTGCAACAAGCGGGTGCTGCCTGTGCTTGATGCATCGCGGGCTAGCAATGCGGGCTTTTGCTCGCCTGGCTCCCTGAAATTGATTCGCAGTTACCGTCAGTCTGGAGGGCATGGGAGGGAGTAGAGGGTATCGGAGGATCGCGCCGCATCGCCGATACATCTGCGATGCATCGGCGAAATCGGCGTGGAAACAAAGGCGCTCCAGATCGCGCCGCATCGACGATGCGCGTCAACCCTCCGACCCCCTCTAATGTAGGATGACGATGAAGACAACATACAGGGGGAAATGTTTAAAGCACGATGCTCTGCCAGAACAACTTTGTGGAGTGAGGGAGATCGAACAATCACAGTGGCGACAACGACGACGACGCCCAAAACCAAGTCTGGAACCCCATTGGATGCATCTCGGGAGCGGCATAGAGGGGGGTGTCGAAGAGGGGGGTGTGCAAATCATGACCGGCGGCATGTGCGCGGCCCAGCGGGCGGGCCAGGGACGTAATGAAATAAGAAGAGGCGCCATGAGATCTGGGGAAATATCATGGCCCACGCCATGAAATCCACCCCCTTCTAGTCATCACCCCCCTCTTTTCCGCCCCCGAGCATCATCCGAGGCGCTGCTGCGTGACGGGCCCCTCGGGCATCTCTCCATCGTCACCTTGCGTGAGCTCTGGATCGCGCCGCATCACCGGTGCGTCCACGATGCAGGACCACCCTGCGACCCCATCTGCTCGGACCGCAACTGGGAAGCCCGATCCGTCCCTCCCCATCGCACAGAGGTGGGACATTGGCCGCCAGCCTCTATCCCCTCTCGGGTCGGGCGAAAGGGGGGGATAGCAAAAGGGGGGGTTGAGAATCAGCTCACGTAGCTGATTTTCCCGGCGCCTCCCGGCGCCGGGAGGCGGCCACGTATCGAGGAATGGGCCCCTCGGCGGGGCCGAAACCAGCTGCATGCAGCAAATTTCGTGACCCCCCCTTTCCCAATCCCCCCCTTTCGCCCGGCCCGACCCTCGTCGTTTTCTCGGCCCTGGGCAGAAGCAGGGAATGGGGATGGGGCGACGAAGCCAGCGGGAAGGTAAGGAGCGAAGGGCTGTCAGAGGTGGCCAGACGGGGTGGGGGCAGCGAACGGAAAGAGAGATGGGGCATAGGTTCAGGGGAGCGTAAGACCCGGGCACAGGGGACTCGGAAATCCCCGACGAGGTCGTCAACAAAAATAACGAGGCCGAGCCTGCATTTTGACGAGGCCTCCCGCTGCAAACATCCCACGAAACTCCTACTCGTCAAAATCCGAATCGCGGTCGTCAAACAACGATGGCGAACCCGAGTCCTGGCACACCCAGGTCTCACGCTCCCCCGATAGGTACGCCAGTGGAATGAGGGGGGAATGCACTTCAGAAGAAGAACTTCATGCACATGGACTTCCGAAGATCCACGCGCATGTCTCACATCGGCGCTGGGACTCCCTCCCTGGCGCGCGGCCGACGCCAAGGGCGGCGCCGCCAGGGGGCCCGGCGCCCGACGCCGACCCAGAAAGCCCGCGAGGACCCCTTAGAGCTCATGCCGGTGGCGAGGCGCGGCCGCCGGAGAGCCTCCCACGGACTGGAGAGGGCCACCGAGGAGCGGCGAAGAGCAAAAACGAACAGCCCACGCCCATGCCTACAGGGAGGTCGGAGGGAGGAGAACTGGCTGCGGGCAAGGGTGCGGGTCGACGGACCCACGAAGAGGCTCCCATTCGAGCAGGGACCACCGCCCGACCACACGCGCCCATGGCCCCGTCTGTCCCCCTATGAGTACAGCCGGCCCGTATCACAAGGATGCGCGATGAGGATGCAGGGGCCTTGGACGCCCACTTCGAAGCTCCTCGAGCGGGGCGCGGCCAACGACAGTGGCCAAAGATGGGCGGCCGAGGAGGCAAGGACGCAAGGGTACCCATGAGCAGGTTGCCCGTCCTTACGGCGCGGGTCGACTGCATGGGCGCGTGCTGCTCGCCCGTCGGCGAAGGCGTCCGATGACCCCGCACCTCGGACGTGCTGCTGCCGCTGCCCGCCGCCCCTCGCGCCGCCCGCTCGTGCCACTGCCGCCGAGGAGGGCAGGGGCGGCGGAGGGGAGGCCGCGGGCAGCGAGAGAACGAGCCCCCCGCCCGGGCCGCCCTCCCGAGAATCGGGGAGACGCAAGACTCGGGCACGGGGGACTCGGGTTGGCATGACGGGGCCATCATGAAAGCGACGAGGCCCAGTCCGAAATTTGACGGGAGCCCCTGCTGCAAACAACCCACCGGAGAACAGACCTCAAAGTCCAGGACGCGCTCGTCAAAAGAACGTCGGCAAGCACGAGCGCCCGTTTACTCGAATTTTACGTGCTGCCCGAGAGAACTGTCGGGTCGGGCGAAAGGGGGGGATAGCAAAGGGGGGGTTTGAGAATCAGCTCAGTTAGCTGATTTTCCCAGCGCCTCCCGGCGCCGGAGGTGGCTATGTATCGAGGAACGGGCCCCTTGGTGAGGCCGAAACCAGCTGCATGCAGCAAATTTCGTAACCCCCCCTTTCCCAATCCCCCCCTTTCGCCCGACCCGGTCCTTCCGTCGCTCAGGTGGGGGTGGGGTGTGCTCTCTCTGTGCCGCTTTTGGGCGAAGCATCCCCGCCATCGAGATTCGAAGCTCTCTGGCCGGGCCCCAGAGGGGGGAGCGTGGGGTGGCGGATCGGGGTGGCAGGCTCGCTTTCTGGACCGAAGAGGGGTG